AAAGTTAAAAAACAAAAAGTGGAATTTTTTTTTCCTTTCTGTAAAAGAAATACAATTTTGGTATGTCAACATATATCAATAGTACGATGGGTTTTCCTTATAAAAAAAAGTTTGATTGGGGATTTTCAAGAAAATAGTGTAATATGTTAAAGCATCATCTAGATATACCTTCAGTATAAGTTTCAAACCTTAAATCCCAAAATAAGCTAAACAAAATTGAAACAAAGAAAAAGTTTTTACCTCTTCCGGGGGAAAATGCTTGCGATTTTTTTGTTATTTATTCTATCTTGTTGTAGATGGATAGTACTATATCTAAATAATGCTATAATAATTGCCTACTTGAAAATTTAATAGTCTTACACGAATGTTCAATATTGATTTTCAATCGCGATTAGAAGAATTGCAGTTATCTATTATAAAACGCAAAGGCATGTGAAAGAATAGTGGCAGAATTATAGACAAAAATTCGGTCAAGCTCTTATATTAAAAATGATATAATAAAATATCTCAAATACTATTCAGTCAGATTATTATTATTATTTTTTTTTTTCTAAACCCTTATATTTTTATACATTATTGATCTCGGTTAGTATTTCTTGCACTGTAACTATAATACACTTTCAGATTTAAAAATTCCTGTAAACCTGTGACCTCCCCGTCCCCAATATGCCCCGACCCAATTATGTTCCGTCCCCACTATGCACCGACCCCACTGTACTGGTTTTTTTTTTTTTTTTGCAAAAACTTAGTGGACCAAATAACACATATTGTTCACGAGATTTGATCTAGTCATAAAATAAAGTATTATCATTTATGACTTAATTATTATTAAAATTTATCTTAATAGTAATAGTACATAGTAATAAAATAATGAAATATTTTATACAAAATTAGAGCTACAAGTTGATAAAATAAAAAATTAAAATTAGCACGAAGCAGATTATCTAATATTAGACAATTTAAACAATCAAGCGTGAATCTCTTTATATGAATAACAGTATAACAATATACAAAACATTAGTTTTCCTTTAAAAAAATTGTGTAATAAAAAAAACATTTTGAGGCGGTATACTGCATAAAAACCAACACTTAATCTGAATCCAAAAAACAACAGTCCTCTTCATTATTTGCAGGTAGTTGGACCTTATATACTCATAGTTGACCTTCGGTAAGGTTATATAACGCAGGCTATAAAATAACGAGATAACGACAGTGGTTTTGTCGTATCGTTTTTTCCCAATAAATCGAGTGTCTACTATAATCAGTTACACGATTTAGTCGCCTGTGATATCATGTCATAAACACAATATTATGATACCGATCATTGGGCCCTAACCTAATCTAACACGGATAGACGTTACCAACTGATAGTTTTTAGTGTCTGTTCGTTTCTCACATCTGGTACACCGGGTTTTTAGTTGAAAAAAAAAAAATTGAATTTGTGTAAACTTTCTTATACATTTCAACTCGATCCGACTCTTTTTTTCGAAATTACAGCCAGTAAAAGTTCTAACTTAAAAACTCGTACGGTTTTTTTTTTTGTTTTTTCAACTTTCGTCTGTGAAGAATTAAACTTTTTCAACTTTTACCCCCCCCCAAAGTACCAACTAGATGAAATTTGCGATTTATAGAGTTGCTACTCGAAGGAATTGGCCCAGTATTAAAAAAGTTACAGTGTATACAGATAAAAAAAAAACACACATCAGAGTAAAACCAATACCTTCTCGCTTTGCATCGAAGCTAATAAATGACGTGTGTGTTGAAATTAATTTTCGTAGTATTACAAGTTAATTGAAAGTATTGTTGTCATAGCTTTTTTTTGTATGGAAATTTTGTTGTCCAGCGCCATGGATTACATACTGTGTTTTTTTTTTTAACACAACAGCTTTAACGTCTATCGATTAGGTCTGGCGATATTCTATCGTTTTTGCGCACGCCACCGTAGGTATATTCCATATGTTATTGTGCGTAATGTGTATACTTTTTTCATTTGTTGTCACGCAAATGTCATTTGTGTACACTTTTTTTTATTCGCTTATAGTTTTATTATTTCCAAACAACCGCGCACGACAGTAGCCGTCGGTTCGCTCGTCACACTTCCAATACAATAATATTCCCCTCGACACATTCGTTCACCACAAACAGACAGACAGACAGAATGTATCCGAATCGCTTCACGGCGCATAACACTTTCTGGGTGTTGGTCCACCGACATTGGATCCGATGCCTTGTGACGGCTATTGCATTGCGGTACACTATAGTTTCTTTCGAAAGCAACGGTCCTTACTTGGATGCCGACACCGCGTACTTGCATTGGTCCACCGACTTGCCAGCGGTCTCGGTCTGTTACGCCGACAACACGGTTCCAGTAATCAACAGGTTCGTCTCTTGTAATCGTTGTGCACAGTATGTTTTGTAGGTACACACACACACACACACACACACGCCTAAACTGTATGTTGAAACACTGTATAACACATTATCGTCCACACGAATTAGTCAACTGTGTGCAGAACATTAAATATCATACCTCACCGAAACTGTTGCGGTATAATACAAACGGCTAAAGCGATAACAACCACGGTATCGAAACGCAGCCATACGGTTTACCACATACAGCTAGCTGTAGAGGGAAAATACATTCATTCGTGTAGCTTAACAAGCCTTTAAAGCCCAACACTTCCATCATGAGATGATCATTTCTAGACGGAATCGCTATCCCGGACGGGTCGTCAGCCCGTCGCCGGAGTGACGAATGACGGTTCCTTTTCACCGGACGATTGCTTGCCTGAGTGTCGAACCGGGAAAAACTACTAAAAAAATGTATATAGTTAAAATTTACTAACCACAAGCTACTAATTATAAATTAAATAACCATTCGTGGTCTATTTTTATCTTTAACACTAAATATAGGAAACATACACTTGCGGACATTTCTATTTAAAATGTTTAAAAATATTTGTTTTTTTACACTTAAAAATACTGTACAATGTGTATTTGGAGTCAGAGTTACATTCGAAGTGATAGCCGAAAATGTCAAACACTTTTTTTTTCTACATTTTTCACAATACGAGTTTTTGTCAAATCAAAAATTTTAAATGCAAATCTAATTATTTTAGAAAGTTTTAATCTATTTTTTTGTGATTCGGAGGTTTTTGGCATCAAAAAAGTTGTTTTAACTTGCTTAGCATACAAACTTTAGAGTACAACATAAAACTCGCTGATAATATTCATAAATCATAGTATTATACAATAAACACTTATAAATGAAAAATCGTAGCTTTTTTTTAGCATTTATGTACTAAAATCTATTTCTTGGCCAAAAGTGCCTCATGAGAACTTGTAGGAGAAATAAACACCGCCATACAATAGCTAGAATGAAATTTATGCGGTAGTGTATGATAAATTATTTCTTAAATTCATCATTGCAGCGCTATCTAGTTTGTTCGGAAGAAACTTCTATCTTCATCATTTTTTTTTTTTGACAAAGTTCAGATTTAAATTATTCTTCCTTACGTTTTTCTCTAAAAAAAAGATTTAATGAAATTTATAACGACCTTTTACTTTCTTTTGAGATTTTAAAATATACCTAAAGTTACCTACTGGTCCGTACTACCTACTGGCCCAGCTTTCCCGATGTCAGTTGGCCAAAAAAAAATTAATGCAATTTTATTTTTTAATAAATATGTTTTGTCTTTATTTGTAATGTTTTCCCAACTAAAGTATCGACTAAAAAATCACTGTAAACAATAATTTAAATAAATTTCTGAAGAAATCACTGAACTTATTGAGAATTTTTATTGAGAATAAAACTGTTTTAATTGACGTAAAATAATGATTATTATTGTTTATTTACGTTGGTGAGCAAATTATTAGTCGTACGACGACCAAATATTGTTATTATTATCATTAATAAATCACAGTTCTTATTTAAGCAATACAAGTTACAAATAAAAAAAAACGTAGTCCTGATTTTTTTTCCTGATCGCTGTGTTATGGTTACATAATATGAGTCCTACTCTCTGACAAGTGTTCACCTAAAAAGGTCCTAAAATTACGGCTTAAACCCCAAAATAAATTTTTCTCTCTCCTAGCCGTATCGAACCCGGGGCACCCCAAATAAATATTCCTTATAAATGTGAACTCGATCCGGCCATTTTCCTCAAAATTATAGCTAGTATAAATTGAAAATTGAAAACTCGTTTCTTTTTAATTTTAAGGTGGAAGGAGTGCCCTCCTCTCCCCAAAGTACCAAATAAATAAAATTTGTGATTTATACAGTTGCTACTCTAAAAAAAGCTCACATTAAAGTAAAAACTTATCAGCTCTGGATCGAAGCTAAAATCATACATAAGCAACCAAATTATGTTCGAAGATTCTAACTTTAACAACTTGATAGTACATTTTCAAATCAATATTTTGATTTTCAAATTAGTATTTTTTTACGCTGATAGATAATGCACTAGCAATTCTTAAAATTAATTATAGTGAAATCCCTAGTTAAAATTTCGCTAATAATCAAACGAGAAAAAAATTACATTAAAAAAAAAATGTATTATTTAATATTGTATTTTATAATGTTAATTTGTTAAATTAAAAAGGCTTTTAATTATTAAATGGCTTTCATTTATTAGTTGTTAGATATTAATATTGAAATACATATTACGAACATATTACGTATAGAAAATATTAAAGAATCTCGATCATGAATGAAATAAGTATAATATTGATAATTAGGAAAAATGGCATAAATTATATGTCCAGGGGCCCCAAAATTTTAAACACGGACATGGTAATATAATAAAATAAACAAGTACCAAAACATAAAAAAATAAATTCAATCACATTACAGCATTAAAGAATATTTATCCAATTGTTGTTTTATACTGTGATTACTTTTCTTAATAAAAGATAATGTACTCCTCTTGAACTAAAATTTGTAAGAAAGAAACACAATTTATTAATTATTATAATTTATTTTTTATACAAATAACTTTTGATTATAGGTACCTCAAAGGTATATGTTCTCCAACTGTTATAGATGGATTGTAAAATTGATCTTTTGCGCCACATAACAATATTAATTCATTGAAATGATCTTGTGAAAACTCATAGTACATCTGTTGACAAGTCTGACAATCTTTATTTGAATTAGCCTCTTTTTTAAAGTCCGGACAAAATGTGGCCCTATATTTTTCACTGTTGATCGACGCGGCAAACAAATATACTGAAACCATATGACAACACCAATCTACAAATCAAAGTATAATAAAATATATTCTTATTAGAAGCTATTTATTAGAAAAATATAAAATTACTCAACCTCAACATATTTGAATAAAACTATACATACACACACACACATAAGTGTTGATTATTTTATATTTATAATATTATTTAAAAGTCAGTTGAACTAAATTTGTACTATATGTATTCAGTATTCAACAATATTAATTATATTCATAAAATTACCTGTGTGACACCCCGGTTGATTTTTTCCATCGTTAACATATACATCAACAGTTCCAATTGGCTTACTAATACCAATCACATCATTGCTATGTATAACGTCTACGAATTTGGCGGACGAAGGGCTTATTTCAACATTAACATTACTAAGTAGCAGTTTCAGCGGGTCTAAGGCTAATAAATTGTACGAATATTATAATTTATCATTGTACAAAAATAACAATGGTGTTTTTCTATTATTTTACACAAACATGTAATTAACGAATTACTATGATTAAATTCTTTTATAATAATATTATACAATCTTCAGTTTTTTTTTTATTATTTGTTTTTAAAAAATTGGTATCAATTTAACTTTACCCAAAAACAAAAAGGCAAACAAATCTGTAGTATATACAAAATAATACAAATTCAATGTGTTAGATGCGATGCGAAACCGTAAAGGCATTCTACATATGTTTCTATTATATATTATTATAGAATAATAAAACTATTTAAATAATTTACCGGTTATTCTGTTTAACATTAAACTATTTTGTGTGAATATGTTGCCAACTCGACCAGCAATATGAGCTCCTATACTGAATCCGACCACGTGAAAATAAGTAATCTCTTTACGTATCTCCATCAATGATATAAGCAGTTTTGCAATATGTTCGCTAAGTGATGGAAGTATATAGATTGATCGTACAAAACCATTTTCTGAACTGACGATTTTCGAATAATCTACCATTATGACGTTGCAGTCTTCTGGTCCTCTTAAGTATTCTAAAATTTACAATTTACTAAAAACATACAATAATAATACATGGCATGGAATAAGTCAATGTCTAGAATAGATTCCATCCCTGACAGTAATCGGAGTTTTTTTTTGCTTTACAAAATGTAGTATCCATTAGATAGCTACTTAACAAACAGATCGGAACACTTTTGCTTTCAGAATTATCCATGTTTGAAATAAAAAGTATTTTTTTAATATTGGTATCGATCGAAAAAAGTATACATTCTACATAGCAAAGTCATAAAAATATTTCCAATCCCATAACATGATCAACATTCAACACCATTAGATATCATATTGTTTATCTATTTTGTGTTAAATTATAGTTCAGTTTTTAGCAAAACCTTGTTCTAACACAAACTTTGCTGTATAAAACGTGATTAAGCTTTTATAAATTCAAATATTAATAGTATTAGTAGATTTTTAAATAAATGTTAAACCAGTTGTTACAGTATTTTTTTTTGATAATACGTTAGTTCAAAGTAAAAATGTATAGTTTCCAATAGTATTGCTGTAACTTAACAACATACCCGTAGAAAATAGTTGTGTTATATACAAACATTATTATACTGCTAAAACCTATGTGCAGAATTTTAATGATAACCTTTTAAAGTCAGCCATTTTAAACTCAAATATTTTTTGAGCTTTTTATGTATATAAAATTTACATATTTCCCTTCTTTCAAAAAAAAGGATCGTGTTATATTTTTTTTACAAGGCTCCGCATATTGTTCTTTAAAAGTTCCTATCCGGTATTTGTTCTGGAACAAATCAGTTTATTCGTTCCGGAGCAAATAAACTTTTTTTCTGGGTCAAACAAACTTAATTGTTGTTTTTCAATTTTTGTTCCAAAACCAATAAAACTTAGAAATATTTAGAAGTAGGTTTTTTTTTCGTTTAAAAGATAAAGACTTTTTATAGTTACATTAATCGTAAAGTAATATTAATATGATAAAAACATAACAATAACATTAAACATATTATAATTAATATTAGGAATAATTTAAACACTATACACTAAAACATGTATATTTTAGTACCTAATAAATCTAAAATCATAATTAACAGGAAAAAGTAGGAAATGTATTTATTTTGCATAATATTCGTTACAGTTAATGTATTTTAACTATATTAAATTAAATATATAATTTAATTATAGTCTTTTTTATTTTAAACGAAATTTAAAAAAAGACCTATCTCTTCATATATCTGAGTTTTATTAGTTTTGGAACAAAAGTTTAAAAAAATATATGTTTGTTTGTCTCAGAAAAAAACTTTATTTGCTCCGGAACAAACAAACTGATTCGTCCTGGAACAAATAAACTGATTTTTTTCCGGAACAAATATCGGATAGGAACAAATAGAATCATTTGTTACGGAACAAATAAAAGAGTAAAATATATTTACCGCGGAACAAATGATTAAGTTCCGGAATAATACCTGGAACTTGATCCGGACCCTTGTAATTTTTTAGTTACTATTGAATTGCTTTATTATTTAGACAATATTTTAACGGAAAAAAAAAATATAATCCGTTATTATCTTATCCATGATCTATTCTGTCTTATTTTAAATAAGTAAGAAACATGGAATAAATATTTAAAGTAAATTTAAGGGAATAACCCAAAGGAGACCAATAACATTATAGAGATATAAAACGCAAAGCTCGATTCGTATGATGATTAATAAATATATTTTAACTCACCATCTCTTAACACTACCATTTCATCACTATTGGGACTGCCTGAATATCCATGTAAAATAACAATAAGGCGTTCGCTCCCGTTTACCAATGGAGCATTCCCAATACATTGCTCGTTATTTTCAACTTTGAACATAGTTGTTTTTCTAATAACAGAAATTAGGAATTTACAGTATATTAATATGAGTGATCCAGTAATTTAAAAAAAACGTATAATGCTGATAAATGTCACAATAACATTACAGTTTATTATTTACTTAGTATACAAATAGAAATCAACTTCTTCTGCAACGTTCTTAGATGAACAACTTTCTCCAAAGTCACAACTGCCATCGATAAGGTTTATTAATAAAAATACATACACCGATACTAATAAATACATCTTTTAAGTGTTGTGAATTGTATTCAATTTTAGTCAAGATAACATAAACTAAATTTATTACATTAGTCGTTAATAATATAACACAAATAATAAATACGATTATACAGAAAAAATGTCTAAGTAAGTTTTAAAAGAGGTAAGAAAAAAACGGGTTTCGATAAAAAGAATGTACAGTTTAGTAATTTGGATTGTAATTCTATAAAGAACCTCAATCTTGAGAATAACAAACAAACAAAATTAAATACACAAATGTATCATTGAAAATGTTGTATTTCAGTATTTGTAACAAACCGTTAAAACAACTGTTTAAACAACAAGTTTAGTTAAAGTTTAGTTTTTTGCCACCATCGCGATCGCAGGTGTGTATCGTTGTACGAAGTTACGGTTAAATTAATATAAAATACCTTCTCGGTTTGCATCGAAGCTAAAATAATAAGTAATTTTTGCTCAAAACACAATGGAAAAAAAACTTGACGATCTCTTAAAAACTGTCACAAAACTTAAAACATCAAATGGAAAAGTCATTTCATTAATAAATTCTCATATTGAAAAATTCAACCGACTAGATAAAAGATTTTGATGATTTTTTTAAACGATTCTCTACTATAATAGAGGAAAATCGAAATCTTAAAATAAAAATTGTAACTATTGAAGAACGAATATTGTCTAAAAAAAATAACAAAAATAAAAAAAAAATAGCTCATAATTTTATAAACACTCAAACAAGATAAATAATTATCTGAAATATTCTTAAAACTCACGAAATGCGGCTAAAACAAATCCTAAATTATTTTGGAATTTTGTAAACGAAAATAATAAAAATAGTCACAAACTACCTCACGCTGTTATACCTAAAGAAGTTAACAATGGTAACGACATTGTACATTTTTTTAAAGAATAATTTTCTAACACATGTGTTTCGGATGATATAATTTGCCCACGGGTCAATTTAAGAGAAAACAATACCGGAGCCATTAAAAAAAATTGAATTAAAACAAATAGTTAATTCAGTAAACTTTGGAATATTAGTTATAAAACAGCAATTGTCCCTGATAAAATTTCCCCAATATTTTTGAAAAAGGGTGCATTCATACTCACTTCAGTTATTTCTTCTATTATTAGCCGATGATGCAAACATTTTCAAAAATATTAGTTGCTTTAATGATGCTGCTGATCAAACTAAAGTTAGATTTAAAAAATATGTATAAATGGTGCCAACAAAACGCTTTGCGCTTAAATTTAAAAAAATATTCTTATACTACTTTTTCCCTAATAAAATCGCAATTTAATTATTTTTTTGGGTAATATAAATTTACTAAGAGTTTCTACAGTACACGATCTTAGGGGAATATTTGACTCCAAACTATCTTTCAATGGCCATATACGTTTTATTAGGAATAAAGCGTCCGTAAAACTATGTTTTTTAAAACGTACCTGCCGAAACTTTAGAGATGCAACTGCATTAAAAGTATTATACTGCTCTTTAATCCGTTCACACTTAGATTATGCCGTACTAATCTGGCATCCATATTCAGTAAAACAATTCCAAGATTTCAACAAAATTAAAAATAATTTTATCAGATTTTTATGCTATCAGCGTTTTGTGTGTAGAGCCCCTCTTAATGTTACAATTAAATTTTTTATTATACAATCTCTAGAACAGCGATCACGCAAATTAAATTGAAATTTTTATATAAATTACTAAATACGAAATCGTAATATGAATGATTGTCCTGAATTGCTGCAAAATATAAATTTAAAAATAAATTCAATGAACTACCGATCTTTTAATTTATTTTACACAAAACTTTCAACAACAAGTTTTATGAAAAATTCTATTCCAACCAATATTGTGATGTCTGCAGGTAACTCTGTATTTATCATCATTTTTATTTTCTAAGCAATTTTGTCAATAAAAAATGTGTACTAATATCAAGCACAAAGAAAACTAACATAATTATGTCAATATACATAATTAATATAATATTGTAAGTATAAAGTAATCTACTGAAATATTGTCGTAACATCTGAATTGATTTAGTAGATTTTAGTAAATATTGTAGTACTATGTAAGAACGTCAAGTATCAAATAGTTAATTATTTTTTATTTGCATGAAGTTAAGATAATATTTAATAATAATTTTAAATCGCCCCAAATTCTGTCGAGCAAAACCCCAACTTTCAAGTAACCATTTTTCTTTATAGATTATCTCAGTATCAACATTTTACCATGTAGATTAATATTTATTAGTAAAATCGCATGCTATAATAGTCTCTATAGCAATATACAAAGCTAATATAGAAAAGGAAACAGGTTTCTTTTTTAAATTAAAATACTTGCATATGGATTTATTGACAAAGTAATAAAACTGTTAATATTTTAAATCGCATCAATACCATAATTTACAATTATACGATCATTAGCGTTATACTCACAATCAGCGTTTTTTTCAAACTTTTCAATATTTAAAAAAGTTTATACATTCTTTTGTTAGCCAAAAACTAATGGGAAATTACAAATTATCTGATTTTGGCTCGGTGCCTGTATAATAAGTAAGTTGATTTTTAAATATATTTGCCAATTAAATGTCTCTGTATAGTACATACACATTCAAGGACGATTGTAGTCTTATAACAATTAGGTATTGGTTTAATACAAAATAATAAGTTATATTTAACCACACTTGCTTAAAATGTCTTTGACTATCTTAGCTTTTTAAAGTTATAAAATATCTTTGTTTCATTGATGTTTATTATATTTAATATGATATTCAAATTGTATTAAAATTATCAATTATAAACACAAATAAATTAAAAATAATATAAGTTTACAAAAATATATTTTTCTTAAATAATAAACCATTAATTAAGTTTACATTTGTGTATGACTGCGGAGTTATAATATACTTAAACAATATTCTAAGGTGATATAAACAAAATGTGGTCACAGTATTTTTTTATATAATAACTATACACTTTAAAATCTATTATATACCACTAAAAACATAATTATTATGTCAAAAGTCTTTAAAAAATATTTATCAGTATTTAATTTAAATTATAATTTGCAGATTTTCATAAAAGTGTTTTGCTTCCAGTCACAATATAAACCATAGAAATCTAAACATTTTTACTGGATTTTTATTTTATTTTACTTACATTTTTCCGTTCAAGTAGGTATCAACAAAGTCAATGTTTAAAAGAAAATTGATTAATTTTGATTTATGCTTTTTTCTAATGCATCATAACACGTTTCTAACTTGATATTGGCTTACCATCATTCAAATATGTATAATAATCTGCTTTGTATCATTACTATTTGTTGTGAACAATCGATGAATATTATCTGATATAATTGTTAAAATAAAGTAGTAATCTTATTGCGAATGTAAGGCAGATTGAGTGTCCTAATCTTAAATAGTATAGTATCTTATGTAGTTGACGGTTTATTCTTACGATGGTGAACCGTAAACATGACGTTAAAATAAAAACGCTAATAATGTTCATTATTTTTTGTTTTTCAAATCGTTTGTTGAGCTCAAATAGTAGTTGTGTTTTCTTATATTTTAATAAATTATCGAATCTATAAGAATATATTAATTTTTAATTACCATAATATCTTTAAAATTTAAACTCTTATATTAGTATTTTCACAACCCTAAATATCCACAATCCTAAAAATGGTTTAATTTCTAAACTAAAAGAGAGACCTAAAATTGAATCCATTCTAGTATTAGGTAATATAGTATTGAAAATTAAAATCCAAAACATGAAAAATAAAATAAATATCGAATTAAAATATAGCACCAAAGAATATTTGTTTGGTTTATCCAATTATTGTTTTATACTGTGATTTCTTTTTTTAATAAAAAATGATGTACTCCTCTTGAACTAAAATTTGTAAGAAAGAAATACAATTTTTCAATGATTATAATTTAATTTATAAATTATGACCATTGGTACCTCAAAGGCATATGTTCTCCAACTATTACAGATCTATTGTAAAATTCATCTCTTGCACCACATAAAACTAATAATGCTTTGAAATTGTCCCGTGCAAGCTCATTGTACAACTGTTGACGAGTCTGACAGTCTTTATTTGAAATATCCTCTTTTTTAAAGTCCAAACAAAATGCGGCCTTATATATATCACTGTTGATCGACGCAGCAAATAAATATACTGAAACCATATGACTACACCAATCTAAAAATTAAAGTTTAATAGAATATATTTTTATGAAACGTTATTCAAAGAAAAGTGTAAAATTACTAACCTCAACACATTTTAATAAAACTATATACACTCACACACAAGTATTAATTATTCAATACAAAATATAAAAATAATAAGTAATAATATAAATTTGAAATAAAAATATCTTCAAGAAGATAATTATTATAAATTAATTGTAATTGCAAAATAATTGTAGAAAAAAAACAATGATTACTTTTCCAGTATACATTTGCTTGTCTTAAGTTTTCGATTAATTTTTAAGTTAAACTCTATTAATATTCCCGAAAAGGAACTAAATATTATGACACAATATTTTTGAGTCTATTTATTTTGATAAAATTTAAGAAAAATATGTTTCAGTTAAATATATGCCATAACATTATTTAAAAGTAATTTAAATAACTAAGTTGACTTATAAATAATAATATGTGTTTTCAGTATTCTACGATACTAAATATATTCATACAAATTACCTGTGTCACACCCCGGTTGATTTTTTCCATCGTTAACATATACATCAACAGTTCCAATTGGCTTACTAATACCAATCACATCATTGCTATGTATAACGTCTACGAATTTGGCGGACGAAGGGCTTATTTCAACATTAACATTACTAAGTAGCAGTTTCAGCGGGTCTAAGGCTAATAAATTGTACGAATATTATAATTTGTGTGAGTATTATAATTTATCATTGAAATTTTGCGAGTACAAAATTAACGATGGTGTTTTTCTAATTTTTTTACACAACATGTAATTAACGAATTACCATGATTTAATTTTTTTATCATAGTTTTTTTTTATAATTAGATGTTATTAAAAAATTCGTATAAATTTAAGATTTCCCAAAACAAAAAGGCAAACAAATCTGCAGTATATAAAATAGTACAAAATAATACAAATTCAATATGTTAGATGCGATGCGAAACCGTAAAGGCATTCTACATATGTTTCTATTATATATTATTATATTTAAATAATTTACCGGTGATTCTGTTTAACATTAAGCCTTTTTGTGTGAATATATTTCCAACTAGACCAGCAATATGAGCTCCTATACTGAATCCGACCACGTGACAATAAGTAATCTCTTTACGTATCTCCATCAATGATATGAGCAATTTTGCAATATGTTCACTAAGTGATGGAAGTATATAGATTGATCGTACAAAACCATTTCCTGAACTGACGATTTTCGAATAATCTACCGTTATGACGTTACGATCTGCTGGCCCTTTTAAGTATTCTAAAAACCACAAATCCAAAAAGGTATATTATTTATTAGATAACTACTAAACAAACAAATCCGCTCATTTTGCTTTCAGAAATATTAACGTGTGGAATATTAAGTATTTTTTTAATACTGGCAATGACAAATAAAAATACACGTTCTACATAGCAAAGTCATAAAAATATTTTCTATCCCATAACATGATCAATACCATTAGTTATCATATTTTTTTGTCTATTTTATGTTAAATTTAGTTTAGTTTTTACAATACCTTGTGTTCTAACACAATTTTCGCTGTATAAAGCGTAGTACAGCTTCTATGAGTCTAAATATTTACATTATTAGTAGAGCTATATAAACGTGTTAAGTCAGGTGTTACTGTATTTTTTTGTGATGTTATTTCAAGGTAAAAATTATGTTTCCAATAATATTGTTGCAACTTATAAATTTACGCATAAGGAAATAGTTATTTATTATACTGCAAAAGTCTATGTGCAGAATTTCAGTGATAAATTTTTAAAGATAGCAATTTTAATTTAAATTCTACAAAAATGGTTTTAGCTTTTCATTTATATACAATGGGTATAAAATTTGCAAAAATTACAAAATCCTTCCTAAAAAAAAATGAACTAACTGTCTTAAAAAATCTTTGATTTGCTTCCCGAAAACGATCGGATCTAGTCGAAATTTGTGCAGAACACTGATAAGATATGCCTATCTATACTGTACTTTGAACCGTGCTTAATTTAGTTTTTGCGTACCTATAGTTGCTAACAGCATTACGAAAAATATTGTTGTTTAATACAAAAAGATGCCTTTGAAACTCATATATGAATATCCATAGGTCATATCCATGTACTGATGTATCTGCATGAAGTGTGGATACTCTTAACTTTTTTTATAATAAAAAACACCCAAAAAAAGGAGGGGAGGAAATTACTTTTTGACCTTAGTAAATATCTCGGTTGCTATGTGAGAGGAAATCATCAGTCAAAAGGTATCCAAAAAAGATTTGTATTTTGTTATATGTACGATTCAATAACGGCAATATATTATTATAGACAGACGATAACTTTAATCGTATCTATTAATATTAGCTCATAATATTTTGGTAGGAAATATTGTAACCACATTTATATTTTAATAACAATGCCTTCATTAATATAAATGTAAAACCTGTACATGATTTAATTCCAGACCCTTAAATGTTATGCTTATAATAATGTTTTAGGCCATTTAACTTTTGCAATTCGAATTTTGATGAATTGTATTTTTATAAACTTGCAAATTAGTACATAACCATTAAGCTACAAATAATAATATAATTAATAAATAATACTAGTCGATAATTACTCTTGGATAAATATTGTGTGTACCAAATATTTAAAAAAAACTGGTAGTCAATACTTATTTTTATGAAAAAATATGTAAACTAAATAAATAATAATATAATGTGTTTTATTTTTATTTATATTTGCTGATTGGACACTAAAAAATGTCTACATCTGGTCATGAATAATTTTATTTTTTTATTTTATATTATTTTAAACCCTATTGAACGTATTACCATTGAGTATATATTGTATACTATATATACTATATTGTATTACAATATATACTCAATGGTATTACATTTTTTTGTTAATATTAAATTACTTTTCTAAAAAAATGCATTTGTAATGTTTGTACTTTCGCATACGGAAACATATTGAAAACACGTTTTAAGTTGTGTTATTTATTAAAATGAGAGGAAAACATATTTTGATGTGATGTTTGTACGCTTGTCCAAACAGTTAACTGTAAGTCATACTCCAATGCACTAAATAAGAAATATATCCATAACAAAAACAACATCTAGAAAATCGACCTAGTTATATTATTTTAAAATGAAAACGATTTCGATAACTATTATATTTTGGGCCCATTTATTTTTTACTAACCAATTATTAATGTAGCCAACTATCAGTATTCAAATTAAGTTTTATAATTATTTAGAATAAAACAATTATACTTTAATTTGTCTCTAAAAAACGATATTAAGCTAAAATTTGTAAACATAATATTATGTATTAAAAAATAAAGAAGGATCTATTTTGATATTTAATTAATTTCTTCAACTATTATAACGCTTACAGGCTATACTTTTGTAGTGAAACATAAAAAATTCATATCAGGCATATTTTTTTGAAATATAACAATAATTGAAATTTATTGATTTTAAAATTTTACACTTTTCTTCAGTTTCTATTTGGTTTTTAACATTTAAAGTAAATTTAAGTGAGTAATCCAAAGGAGACCAATAACATTATAGAGATATAAAGCGCAAAGCTCGATTCGTATGATGATTAATAAATATATTTTAACTCACCATCTCTTAAAACTACCATTTCATTACTATTTTGGCTGCCTGAATATCCATGTAAAATAACAACAAGGCGTTCGCTCCCGTTTACCAATGGAGCATTCCCAATACATTGCTCGTTATTTTCAACTTTGAACATAGTTGTTTTTCTAATAACAGAAATTAGGAATTTACAGTATATTTTTATTAATAAAAAATAATGCCGATAAATGCCACAATAACATTACAGTATATTTACTTAGTATACAAATAGAAATCAACTTCTTCTGCAACGTTCTTAGATGAACAATTTTCTTCTGAGTCACTCTTGGCATCGATTAGATTTAATAATAAAAATAAACACACCGATAATAATAAATACATCTTAAGTGTTTTCAATTGTAACCAATTTTAGTCAAGCTAACATAAATAAATTGTATTATATTAGTTCTTATTGACACAATTTTTAATATTTTTTGTTATAGCTTTTTTTAAATTTTATACTGCTGATTAACACAAAATATTGATTTGGATGTATTATATAAATCGTTTTTAAAGAAAGCACTTAAAAGCGAAGCTGTGGATAGCTATAACATATTAGTATGCACTGTACTATCGTTTTACTAGTCAGTAGTGAAACCTACATTTTACTCGGCTTGTATTATAATGTTTATCTTAAAGAAACTGTTGTTGAAAAAAAATGTGTACTTAATATCTAGCAGTCAGAAAAAAATAACATAATTATGTTAACATACATACTAGGTATTGTAAGTATATAAAATAATCTACTGAAATATTGTCATAACACCTGAGTTTATTTGGTTGATTTCGGTAAATAATGTTGCACTTTGTAAGAACGTCAAGCATCAAATAATTTATTATTTATTATTTGAATGAAGTTAAGATAATATATATATTATTTATTTGCATGGCAGATAATATATTATAATAATTTATAAGCCCACAATTTAGGCAAACCCCAAATTTTTAAGGAATTAATGTTTGCTTAAGATTTGTCAGTATTAACAGTATTCACAGTACGCATTAACGTTCCATATTGATTATCCTGTATTGAATAATATGACGTTTATAGTTTTTAAATATAATTATTTCCGTGTGAATAGTTCACTTACAAATTAGTCATTTTATACAACTTCTGATATTGAACTTGAAATAATGACCTTAATAATATGCGGATGAATACAAAATAATAAAGATCAAGAAAAAATTTAACGACGTTAACCAGTTTAATTTTTATGTTATTAAATAAATTATCAACTTTTTTGACAAGCAAGAAAACAGTATATTTGAGTTATTATTTTTTTGATATACAAAATAATAAAGTACACTAATCATTTAAATACGTCATCTTACAATTATTGGAATTAAATTCTCGGAAATAAATGATAACTATAATTTTCAAAACAAGGTAACGTATCATTACGTTAATATAAATATTAATAAGTACCTCTTAAAAATGTTTGTATTTAGAAATGTTTTTGAAAGTTAGTTTAATTACATGTGGTTATATTTTTCAGTGAAATGAGCAATTCTGAAATCACATTTCCGTTAAGAGAATACATTCTAGAAAGGACCAAAGAGTTTAAAGCCGAAGTAATAATACGATAAATTTATAATATATTGTGTGAACTATTTTTATACTTGAATGTTTGTTGAATGGTTTGTTTTTCCTTGGCGTGGAGCTGAAATTTGTATTTTTTTTTTTTTTTTAACTGTATCCACTAAAATCCATAGTTAAAATGTTTTTCTTATTTTAAAAAAACGCCCAAAAAAAGTGTGAATCATAATTTGACCATTATTAAATTTTTGTTTTAAGACCACATGATCGGTTGACAACTCATGTTTAATAACACGAGTGTTTCCTGGTAATGGGAATTTTTTGTCTACAAGGTGAATTTTATTTAATAAATACGTTTCACCATCTACAGTTCAGCATCGAAGCGTTTATTTGAAAATTATTTAATCACTTTCAGTTATTATAAATGCTAAAACGTGTGACCTCCTCGTCCTCATTATACTTCATCCCCCCTATGCCTCCACCCTACTGTGTTGGATATTTAATATATTTTTATAGTACTATAATATAATAGCACTTAATTTAAACAATACTAGGAATAAAGCCCAAATCCTTATTATCATTGTGGTTTTACAATAAAATGTAGAGATCTGCGATCATACTACGTTACATTATTATGGAACTTGCATTACCCTTAAGGGACCATCCATTGATAATATCATATAAAATGGATCGTTTTATACCGCATATTATAATAAACTGCAGTCATAAATATTGTAGTACTAATAAAAAAATATGTGCAAGGTATTTCTTAAAGTATAAAATAATATATACTTGTCTATATTATCGTGCAATAATATAATACAATGTCATACAAATTTTTTTTGAAAAATGTTAGTTTATTTTCACGAAGATCAATTTATGTGATTTAAGTTTTGTAATGGCTTATAAAAACAACATTACTATTAACTACAAAAGTATACTATTAAGTTATGTTTTTACGTTATGAACTTTTTTATGAACAATACAATCTTATACAACTTAACCCCAATTAGTATATTTTCTGATTTTATACTTATTTTAGTTGGCAAAAATAAAAATTACCAAATTATTAAAATAGTACTAATGTTTTTCAATAGGGGAGTGTTGTGTAAAACCGGGTAGCCGGGTCAAATCAAGTTTTCTATAGTTCTAATAGAAAACCCGGTTTGACCCGCCTACCCGGTTATACCCTAATATATCCCTTAGTTGACTATGCCAAAGCTATTTATTGTTATATCCTTAGAGCCCAATTGCGGTTTGCAATAAAATGTTCAAAAGTTGTTCATGGAATGACAAGTTTTTCAAATGTTGCCGACATTTTCAACCACATCGATTTATAGTTAATCAGCCTTGTTTTTCTATCAATTCGCTACAAACTATAAACAAGTAAAATATATTGGTACTACATTTGGTACTTGTTTGTTATGTGCACAAAATTAACAGTTTGACTTTAACAGAATGAAAAAACTATCCATCAGTCATTTCTCTAAAGGAGGACCATTGATTATGGAGTTTAACTTACCAGTTGAAGTAAGCATGTAATAATGATCACGACTTATCAATTGTAGACATCTTTTTAACTTCAATGTAAACCTAACCTTTCATCGGTTAAACATTTCTCAGTAGTATTAATTTAAATAAACATTATATCATTCTGATCAATTACACGTGTCTAAACCAAATTTATTTCATGTTATTAGATTATATTACACGATCCAGTGGAAATACAGTTCGATAATTATTATCAAACGCAAAATAAAATAAATATTATGCTCGGAGAAGAGACAGAATGGATATATTCCACTAGACAAATTATTGAAGATGCCTCACTAGCGGTTTTGGATTTTTCTAATCGAGGATGTCTATTACGCCATGAAAGAAAACTGTCACAACACAGTACTTATAGTAGAACTGCTTGCTTGTTGGAGTGTGTCATTTATAAACCTGATTTATATGGTAATAACATATTTAAAAAACTAAATAAAATCACAAATTTCACCGTTTTTATAAAAAAAAAAACACATTGTTAAATTAACAATTGAACTACTTCTTCCGATGTATGTACATTAAATAATAATAATTCATTGCGTCACGCTCATAAAAAAAAATTTTTTTTTTTTAGTTGTTTTAATAATACAATAGTTACACAAAATTACAAAATTCGGTCAAATTTTAGACCCGAGAAGATAAGAGTATTTTTTCGCGCCAAATTCAAATCAATCACCATTTTCCATCGGATTAGATTTTTGAGATTTCTATGTTGGTAGGATTACACTGTCACAACTAATAAATATGTACAAATTTCGTAAAAGCACTCGACCAAGACATCCATTATCTGATCATCAGTTGCTCCCAAAATGTCCAACTCTAAAATCGTTGAGAGAATTTTAGTCGAACTAGCTATACTAATATTGATGAACGACTATAACTAAATATTTATATTTTATCGGCCATGGGCATCATCATTTAAAACCGCCGTTTAAACTTCTTCGGTAAAAGAAAATGTGACGCATATAGTCTAATTATGGCAAATCTTTTGAAAAATTGCAGTATAAAATGGTTTTCTAGTGCAATCGAAAATCCATTTTCTACATTAACATCAGCCATCAGGAATACCTTCCCAACAACTTACGAAAAGTAGTTGTTACAGTAATCATCAATGATATTCTTTGATATTCGTTACGGTATTGAAAAAATTATAATATTTTAAAACAAAGCCATCTTTTGAAAACCAGTTTAGATAAATCATCATAACAACGTCACACATTTCATCCAGAAATAATTTTAACTACGGTCAGTGCAGCTACTTTGAGATTGAAGATTACCTACTAAACTATGGATAGATCTCAAATAAGTCACTCGACCTTGTATTTATTATCTTCTCTGAAAGGTTTTTATCATATCTATTGATACAACGGCTTAAAATATAAATATTGCCTGTGGACATAAATAAAAGTATTCTTAAGCCTAGTTTATGTTAAGTACAACCATTGAAGACAGAAATAAGAACTTTTGCATCGCAACATATTAATGGTCCTTATCTATTTCTTGTTTCCATGTTTGGTTAAAAGTAAACCATGTAGCAATATACAAAATCATACTCTTGGTATTAGATGTACAATAATATTACAAATTAAAACTTAATTTAGTATAGTAACATTTATTTACTAGGACAAAGTTTCGTTGTTTATAAGTTAAAAGTTGTAATTATTAATATTAACATTTTTCAGCATTGAATTCAACCTTGTGCGACTGCCCTTTACATTGTGCGGAAACTGAAATAAAATCTATTTGGAATGGAACTCGGAGGTATTATTTAAAAAATAAATGTAAAACATTTTAAATAATATACAACAATATTATTATACTAAATTATAATTATAAAATATTCATAATAGTCAATATTAACTATTTGACTAGAAAATAGATAAATAGCCTGCAAAATTGTGTATTTAATTGAGTTATCAATTATATTTGAATTTTACTGTTCTTAGAGGGAAAGACAATATAACAAGATCTATTTTAACTATGTCTAAGCCAGCCACTGAACGGCTAATTATGAAATCAAAAAAGGATTTTGTCGACTTAATAGGTGAACATTTGAATAGTTGTTAATTTAAGAACTTAAAATTTGTCATCAAGTCAAATTTGTTTAATAATGTACAAAAATAATGACCATTAATGTATTATTAATATATTGTTTGTTTATTTCCAGTGGTTATAGCGTGTCTAATGCAATTC